AAGGACACAGGTGTGAACACACCCAGGCTCTGCCTGCAAGGACACAGGTGTGAACACACCCAGGCTCTGCCTGCAAGGACACAGGTGTGAACACAGCCAGGCTCTGCCTGAGAGGACAAGGTGTGAACACACCCAGGCTCTGCCTGCGAGGACACAGGTGTGAAAACAGCCAGGCTCTGCCTGCGAGGACAAGGTGTGAACACAGCCAGGCTCTGGAAGCAACACCAGACACTCTTTATCAAGAGTCTAAAAGGTTCCTACTCCCTGACCCATCGCCCTGGCTGCTAGAATCCATACCAAGAAATAAGAGTTCTGTGCTGATATTATATGAACAGATACTCACTGAATAGATCGTAACTTGACATGTTGGCCTTATTTACAGCAGCAAAAATTAGAAACACTAACAAATGTTCCGAAATACAGGAATGACTGAAGAGATCATGGATTCGTCAAACAAAAGAATCTTGAAGGGCTATTTAAATGTTATAAAATACTTGTGGACCCCAGAGAAAATAGTCATGATGTAATGCAAACTGCCATTAAAAAACGATATATAAAACTGAACATTGTGACCTCATCAAATACTCCCCACCCCCCCACACACACCTATGTGCAAAGCAAGTAATCTGGGGAGAAGACATGCAAAAATGTCCCCACAGCAGGTATCACCGGGGGGGGGGGGTGATAGAACTACATGTGGGATTAATTTTATTTTCTGTTTCTCATTATCCTTTTTCCAATTTGCTAAAAAAAAAAAAATACAGTTTTTTTTTACAGTCATAAGTAGAATTTTTTGAAAAGCCACAAGTGGTTAAATATTTAATGACCAGGTAAAATTTCACTACTCGGGTAGTGTTCTGAAAGACAAAGGACCCTTCACTAAAATAAATAGTTATTTTCACTCAGTGATATTTTAATTGCAATGAAAATTCTGACACCAAAGAAGATAGTGTCGGAGTAAAAACCTCCAGGGCATCCTCTGCAAGACTTCCCCCACAATACAGCAGGCAAAAACTGGAGGAAGAACAGGAATGTTTCATTTCCAAATTGATGTGTCTTCTGTGTCTGGGCGAAAACCCTTTTCTGCTTTCCATCAACCTTACAATTTACTTTGTCCAAATGTGAGATAGAAATCCACTATTTGGAATGACCTTTAAAACTTAATAATGAGTTTTCTTTTTAGGTGATCTTATCACACAGCCATAGAAATGGTTCCATTTCTCTCTGCACAAGAAAAGACCTAGGAACATCCCTACTATGAGTTGCCTTTATTGAGATTCCCCGCAAGACACACCATCCCTCTCCCCTCTGGCCACGTGTCTGCCACGCCCTGCCTGACTCCGGCCTCCAGCTTGACCCAGCCTTGCCTGGCTGGCCTCTGCCTGGGCCCCTTCCCAGCTCCCCGCCACCCACTCCAAGTCCCCGCCCCGGTCTCCCGACTCCAGGAAGTCACCCACCACCCACACGCTCAGAAGTGCCCAGTGCCACATTCTGGCCACCATCAGTGCTCTACAATAATTTCATACCTATTCATCCATTATCTGGCCTCCCCTTTAGGGGGCAGTCCCCGTAAGGACAGGGACCAAATCTGTGGGAGCCACTGGCATCTCCCAGCACGTCATTTGGCCAGTCACTGCGATGCCACCCTCGGCAGGATTGACTTCCCACTCCTGCATCCCCAGCCTGACTGGACACGGGCTGGTTAGGCCTGGCTGGGCTCCAGGTGGAGGGCAGGACCCTGTGGCCTCCACCTGCCTCCAACTCCCCAGGAGCCGCAGGGCCTTGGGGCACACTCACCTCAGGGGCAAAGCCAGAGCCTCAGAGGATTCTACCAGCAAAGCTCGGTGTCGCTGAGGCGTGCGCTCAGGTCACGTCTGCAGTCTCCTGGACTAAAGCGCGCCACAGCCAGGAGCAAGGCCCGCAGGAAGGAGACGGGCACCCACGAGGCCCGGCCGTGTGGGTGGTCACACTCCTACAGGGAGCAAAATGTGAGGCCACCAATTCAACCACCACGTCAAGAATGCCACCCGATGGCCCTGTGCTGGAACCGTCCCCCCACAAGTTCCCTGGTCTGCGTCTGCCCCTTGCCAAGGCGCCTGCAGCCTGGGCCAGTGCTACCCAGAGAAGCTTCCAGCTCCAAGCCCAGGCAGCCCCTGCTGGGGGACGTGGCGGATGCGGGCAGAGCTGCGGGAGCTTGTCCCACCCCAGGCCCCGCCCCTCCCCCTTATGATGTTCATCACTTGGAACCTTCTAATGTGTGGTTCCTCCTAGAGTAGAAGCCGATTCCCCAAAATTATCAAGACGCAGGACCAGAGGCCTAACCCCGGGGTGGACCAGGCTGAGGAAGGCGGGGCTGTCCTCTCTGGACCAGGGTGGGACATAAAAGTTAAGGGGCACCACCATATTCTGTAGTGGACATAATAGCATGTGAAGGCAGAGTTGGGTTCGGTTTGGTTTTTCAAAATCAAAATCAACACAGAAAGTCCCTAAAGGGCCATTCTATCCCCATTTTAGCTGAAGACAGGTCCAGCTGGGTGCTGGCACCCTGGCCCGGCTGCTCTGCTGCCAACTCACTGGCCTGCAGAAGCTGTGGAAGGCGACAGCGGGAGGAACAGGAAGCCATTCCGGCTCGCATGTGGCTCAGGCGGCCCATGAGCGGCCTCAGGTGAGACAGGGCTGCCTGCCTGTGCCCGCCAGGAGCCAGGACAGAGAGTCAAGCCAGGACAAGGCCCCCCGCAGCACTGCTGCGCGCGGCCCCGCAGCCTTGACGGAGGCTCAGCCGGGAGGCGTCTCTCAGACACCCGCGTTTGACACCCAGCAGACGTCACAGTCACAAGGACCCAGACTCCAGGGGACTTGGTGGAGGAGCTGAAAACGCAGCCCGTGGGGAGGGTGGGGCTCTCAGGTGCACCTCTGTTCACCCTGCTGTCTGGTCCTGCAAACCAGAGGGCGACCGTCACCAGGTTCTGCACAGAGAGGAGGGACAAGCTGCGGTCCCCATGGTCAGGCTCCTCCTGGGCTGGCCTCCTGTGAGGACTGGTGCTCAGAGAGAACCTTCAGGTCCCGAGGGGGGGAGGAGCTGGGCGGTGGACGTGTGGGGCAACAGCCCTTCCCAGCTGCCCAGGGGCCCGACACCCAAGGTCATTCCCATCCAGAGGGGTCCTTCCCAGGATGTGCTCACGACTCTGGAGACAGTCCGTCTGCCAAGCCCAAGTCTGAGTATGAGACACCCAGGCTCCCGGGGAGGCTCAGACCCCTCTCCAGCCATTTGTGCTCCAGACGGACACGACAGCAGCACCCCTGACCAGCCCCATCCTCGTCCTGCTACAGGGCTGACCAGTCCAGTCAGCATGGACACTGACCACAGCTTGGACACAGTGTCCCAGGTCCCTGCTGGGCCGACAATAAGGTTCTGTTGTTTTTATGTCTCTGGGCACCAGCACAGGGCATCCTTGAACAGAGGCAGCAGCCCAGTACCCCCAGTGGGGACCCAGCTGTTTCAGAACAGCAGTGGCCCACACCCTGACTTGCCTGAAGCCTGGTGCCGGCCAGGGGGTCATTCAGCTTACGGCCAACCAAAGGCGCATCTGTGGGGTGGGCGTGGGGCAGTGCTCAGAAGCCGGGGAGCAAATCTGCAGGGACCATCCTCAGGCGGCCCTGACCTCTGCCTCCAGAGACTCACTGTCCTGCAGTCAACCCAGAGGTGCTCTTCTGAGTATCCCCAGGCGGACGCTCCATCCCTTGGGGCTGGGAACTGCCTGTCAGTGGGCAGGTAGGGTAGGGACACGGCAGGGGCCTGGGATGGCAGAGAAGATGGCGAGGTGAGCTGGGAGGCTGAGCCGAGAGGCTGCTCACTGGGCGCTGTTGCACCTGTTGGGTGTGAACGTGTTCTTAAAAAACGCCCGTGCCTGCTTCCTCACCAGACTGTCTGACGCAGACGTGTTCTTCTGCTAAAAAGGGAAAAACTACTCAAAACCACCCGCGCACGCAAAGGGTCTGCTGCTAAATTCAAATTCCCAAACCTCCAAACCTGGCCCCCAGCTCACCAATGGAGCCCACTGATGCCGCCTGTCGGTGGGCTTCTTGGTGCCTGGAGGCCGGAAGGAGAAAACACAGGGACATGGGGTGGCAGATTAATCCCTTCAGATCCACACCTTGGTCCTCCTGCTTCCTTAGTTGCCCTGGCCAGGGACAAGCTGAGGCTGGGTGAAAGACGAGCAGGGGGTGGGCACCGGGCCATGAGCGGACCCATCCCTGACCTGGTGATTCCAGGCCCGGGCTCCGTCCCCGAGGGCCCTGCGTGGGACAGGGAGGAGGAAGCCTCTCTGAGGGAGACCCCTCATTCCAGACCAAGGCTCAGGCCTCAGGGGAGAAGCCTGGGGGGGGGGTGGTCCTCCTGCTGGGAAGATTCAGGGCTGGGAGCCCCGACCCCCGCCAGGTCAGAGGGCGCCTCACTCCCCCAGGCCTCTGAGGCCACAAGGAGAAATGTGGGTCCTGTCGTCCAAGGTCACCATCGTCTGCCTCAGGGACAACTGCCTGCTGCACAAAAGACAAATTTGATAGGGAGGGAATTTTAGCTCAGGATGAATTTTTATTAAAAATGCTCCTTCAGCTGCCTTGATGGATCGGCGCGCCTCCAAGCGCCTCTCGAAGCAGGTCTCCTTCTTGATGGCTCCTCTTCAGCTGAGGTTGAGAAATGATCCTCACCAGACCCTCCAGGGCTGTGAGGGGTTCATCAATCTCCTCCGTCCTTCAAAGCTGGGCGCCCCACACGGTTGTTAGCCCGGGACCCCCGTTTTAGTAAATGCAAAGAAAAAACTCCTATTCCCTTTCAATGGGATTTCAAGTTTCTAAATCGATTAAGTGTTGTGTCTAAAAAAAAAGAAAAAGAAAAGAAACACAAACCCGGGACATTTTAGGAAGAAATGATCTCAGAAAGTGTGTACTTTGTGGCCTGGCCTGTGACACCAAGCTGAGCAGGGAGCCTCGGCCACCACGGCTCATCTGGGCAAAGTCGAACCAGAGGGCCACCTGGGTCCCTGTCAGCATCAGGACCGTGGCCTGGCCGCATCCCAGGCCACAGGGATCCTGATGGAGAAGATGAGCTGACGTCTCTCGGGACCCCACCGGACACTGCCCTGAACGTGCAGGACCACACACTCTGTCCCCTCACCTCCCAAGCAGAGAAGCGCCATTTCTGCAGGTGAAATCCAGTTTATTGATTGCAGTTATACTTTTCTACCTAGAAAATTGACAACAAATTACTTCTGGGAACTCTGGGGGCATCATTCAGCCATGCTTCAGATGAGAAAGACCAGACGGACTGCAGAATTGGCTCCAGGTCCCAGCGTTTCCGAGAAGCAGAGGGCCCTGTGCGCTTCAGGGGGCCGAGGAGGAAGCACAGGAAGCCTGCTCCTGCCTGGATGAGCTGCCCGCAGCATCCCGTAGTCCAACAAGCACTGAGTGAGTGAGCAGAGGTGACCAGGCCCCCAGGGAGGATGGCCGCACAGTCCTGTGGCTGGGGTGGAGCACCAGCAAAGGCAGGACTGAGGTCACATTGTGACCAAGGACACACAGAAAAGAGAGTTCTGTGGGCCCCCTGAGGCCTGGCCACAGGTCACCTGTGGTATGCAAGGAGGTTGTGTGCCTCTGAGCACGTGGGATTTTATGCACTGGGTGAGTGGCCCCACCTGCCCCTTCCCGAGCACCTTCTGCAGGTCAGGCAACAGCAGGACTCAGGTTAGACCATTGGGAGGCTGAGGCAAGAGGATTGCCAATTCAAAGCCAGCCTCAGCAATTTAGCAAGGCCCTGAGCAACTCAGCGAAACTTGTCTCTATATAAAAAAAAAAATTTGGAAGGGCTGGGGACGTGGCTCGGTTATTAAGTACCCCTGGATTCAATCCCTGGTACCAAATTCTAAACAAATAAGACTCCCTGCTCAACTCGGCTCAGGCTCACCTCGAGGTGACCAGAGAGCCCACGTGGGGCACCTCGAGGTGACCAGAGAGCCCACGTGGGGCATCTGTTCGCTGGTTGAAGGTGATTTGAAATGTTCCTCACTTAGAGCCAAAAAATGTGAAGTGCTCTTCACTGAAACAAGAAGAATTACAGTGGAATGTTTTCCTACTTTGAGAAGCGAAGTGGGAAAGTACTGATTCACACCACCACACAGACGAGCCCGGGAAACGCACCCAGTGAAAAGAGCCAGACGCAAAAGGCCACCTACCATGTGATCCCATTCACGTGACATCTCCAAACAGCCAGGTCCTCAGAGACTAGGTGAGCCGGTGACCACCTGTCGGGGCCGCCGAGGTGACGGCAGAGGTGATGGGGCTTCTTTTTGGTACCACGAATGTTCTGGATTTGGATAGTGCTGATGCCTGCCCAGCCTTGTGCATATTGAAAACCACGGAACTGTACCTGCTTAAAGGGTGAATTTTATGGTCTGTGACTATCTCAATAAATTTAAATGAAATAGAATAATAGAGTCCTGATTGAAAATAAGACCAAGAAAATTTTTTTTTTTTTTTATTGTTGGTCGTTCAAAACATTACACAGTTCTTAATACATCATCTTTCACAGTTTGATTCAAGTGGGTTATGAACTCCCAACTTTACCCCG